ATATTAAGGAGAAAAATAAAAAAATTGGATTTTAAAGGGTCACAGGAGTAATGTAGAAAATAAAAATAGGAAAAAAAAGCCACATTTAGATTTTTTTTTTTAACAGCTCCACATTTAGATTTATCAACAAGAATGATATACGACTGACAAAGATTAAAAAAAAAAAGGGGGATTATAAGGTGAACCTGTTTCCAGGATTGATGGCTGCATCTGTTTGAATTCCACCACCAATAGTGACTCCTGTTTGGCTAAAAATGTCTCGATTCAGTCCACTAATAACACCAACAGTAAGGGTATGATCAAAACCAAATGGATTCCCAATTGCTAGACACTGCTGTCCAACCCTTAGAGAAGATGATTGTCCCAACTTAATGGGCCTCAACAGATCTTCAGGGGCCTCCACCTAGCATTAGAAAAAAACCAGCTTAGAAGCATAGCCATAATATACATATATATATATATATATATATGTTATTGGCAGCCATAATATAATGCTGTATTAAGATTTGTCTTTAATTTTGACTTAATATACTTCCTTCTTATCATTATCCAAGGGATTGAAGTTTCTAGAGCAACTATTTGGCCATCACAGATTAACGTCTGCAGTTCAATTAAACAACAATGAGCAATCCAATATGATCTGTCCCACATAATGGAAGAATTAGTTCTGAAACTTATCCATTTATACATACTGAGTTGATAACAAGACAATATAGATTCTAACCAGTCATACATAGTTTTAAGATACATAAGTCTTAATCTTTTAACACTTCCAAGGAATAGCATAAATCTCACCTAGGATTGACTCAAAAGAACAGCAAAACAAACCATCTACAAGAACAGAAAACTCATAAGATGCCAACTTAAACCAAAGTTGATAATGTGACGTCACTGTAGAGTTATTCAACATAAAATTTATTTCATCTAAATTTGAAATGAAAACTTCATCAACACCCCAAATCAGAAATGGGAAGTTCCTCCATCCACTGCTCCTACATTGCACCAAAAATTTTGAAAAAGTTTCTGTCCTAAAACTGAGTTCTAATATGGACAAAAATAGGCCTTTCATTCTTTGAACACAATGAAATGTCAACTAAAATAATAAACCTTTTACTGAAGGATTACATAATGCCAAACACTAAATGAATGTACTTGTCATAAGAGAGATTTCTATTGTCCAGATCCATCTTTAACGGTTTATGATTGGTGACTTGGTGTCAACATTTATCCAACTGTATATGTTGAAGTATGTTTCCCTTGTGAGTGTGAAGAACAAAGATCCCACATCGAAGAAATATGAAAGGAAAGAATGTAACTATAAGACTAGTCTCTCAATGTGTCCCAGCTAGGCTGTTTGTCTCCCCAACATTATATTCCCGGCCACACAACTGAGACCAAAACATAAAACCGCTTGAATGTCCATGAAGAAGATCCCAAGGAATAGTTTAGTATAGTCTATGGAATAAGCATGCAATCAGGCAGGCCAACCAATTAAGGTACTTTCAGATGACAATTTAAGAAAAATAACAATGAAACATACCTTTAGGACAGCAAGGTCCTTTGCACGGTCCGCACCAATCAACTTACCCTCAAAATTCTTTTGCACACTATAAATTGATAAGAAAAACAAAAAACTGAGAAATGGCTACAACAGCCAAAAACTTCATGCCTGGCAATACAGTTCAATTTTAATAGAATAGGCTAAGGCACTGCAAATCTCACCCTTCTGAAGCTAAGATATTAACTCGAGCGACTACTTGTCCAAGACCTTGATTTCTTGATAGGGCATTACCAATCACTGGAATATGTAAGGATAATGATTAAACTGGAAAAAATGATGAAGAGGGAACTAAGTTATCTCAACTTTCAGCCAAACAACAAGTAGGATTTATCTAATAATAGAAATACTATAAATAACCAAGGTCTAAAGCAATTATTTTGTTGGCTTTAGGAAGAACTCAGTACTAACTACTAAGACAACCGAGCTGAAAACTTCAAAAGACATCTAACTTGTTTAGGCTCCCAATTATCCTTAAGATCAGAATAAATAAGTTATTCTACAAGAGCTCGGTATCGTACCATGATAATTTGTCACAATGTGTCCCTGTCCATCCCAGACAACTCCAGAGCCATTTCCTTCAGGAATCTGCAAATAGGGATAGTAATGATCTTTGCATTTCAGCCCTTACATGTGCTAATAAACATGGCCAAACTATAAAGTTAGTGCGGCGACTATACTTAATCAGAGAAAGAAAGATATAGAGAAGGATACCTCAACCATACCGGTTACATTAAGTTGTGGCCGCAATGTTACATCAAAAATGTTGACCACAGAGTATGTATTCCCCTCAAAGAGTTGGGCAATTCTTTCCTGCCAATCAAACAGGCATCCATCAATAAGCTTCGGAAAGAGGGTGAAACTCATAAATTTATTAATCCAACTTCAATTAGAGATTTAAACTGATATAATTGAAAACAAACCTCAGAAGGGAAGAGTGCCCCAGATGGGAAAACAGGAGGAGTAACATCTTCAACTGTCACTGATGGATCCCCTAATGCTTGCGCTGTACATCAACCGGTTAGGCCATGATTAGTAGCAAATTACCAAAAGTTTAGAAATCCCCAAGAAGCATGGTACTTCAAAACTACAAACACAAACAGGCAGTATGTACAAAACATTTACAGGGATTATGGATTAAGCAACTAGGAATGAATTACAATGATCACATTCAACATGCAATTGATAGAATCTTGAGGCAAAAATGGAAAACGTAGATTGGAGCATTTTCAATAGCATTTATTTCTTTCCCTTTCCTCATTTTCAAGACATCAAAGACGAACTCTAAACCAGCTGGTAATTTGCACTTGTTTACTGCTAAATATACTTCACAGACAAGTAGCACTCTAATGAACCAACTTATTTTAAAAACAATTTCCAAACATATGAAGAGAGAGGTGCAAATTAACTAGCATAAAATCATCCACAAATTAAAGAAGATATTATTCCAAATATAAAGTGAACAAAGGAAAGCTAAAGCTCAAATGTGCAGACCTGATAAGTACCTTGAAGAAGGATGATAACATAAATATACGAAAAAACTTGTTAGCAACATCCTCCTTGTTGTAAAAGGAATAATTTTCTGCGTTAATACTTCACGTAAATCTACTTTCCCATCTCTAACACTCCTGCCAGGCATATATATATATATATATATATATATATATATATATATATATTATGGCTATGCTTCTAAGCTGGTTTTTTTCTAATGCTAGGTGGAGGCCCCTGA